ATATATATATATATGCATATATTATACACACACACCTTGTTCACAATTACTTTGATAAAACACTCGTACAATAAAAAAAGATTATACTAACCTATTCGAATGAGTGCATACAAGAATAGTAGAATGTGGCTGCAGCAATAACTGTTTGATAGCTTGGGCAAGTGTGTATGTTTTACCAGTACCATATGGTCCTATAAAATACAAAAGAAAATACATTAAAATTGCAAATTAACATAATTACTATTATACTACGTAATATAAAAAGGCAAGGTAAACTAGTAAGTATTTACCATCAACAAGTAGATTAAAAAGATATGACACAATAAACCATGTTTCATATAAAAATCTTACTCAGGCAAGTTTAATTCACAAAACATGTAATACATTCAGCCCTCAGCAACATACAACATACATTACATAACGGTTGCTCATTATCTAATGTCTACTAAAATAAAACAAATAATGTCTTCCGTTAACATGCTTCATACTTCATTACCACAGATATCATTTATTTGATTTCAGGTCCAAATAAAAACGTCTTTGAGCAAATAAAACATTGTTACCAACTACACACATTATGGCCTATTCAAAATTTGCACTGCAGAGGCCTCAAAAATCCTCAATGTATTTTAAGGAATCTAAAAATGCCACAAAGCACAATGTTACACTATTACTATTATTATTATTAATTATTAATTATTATTATTATTATTATTATTATTATTATTATTATTATTATTATTATTATTATTATTATTATTATTATTAGCTATATGTCATTTCTGATCACGCTACACAATTAACGTGTGTAGCTTTGGGGATCTGCTTTTCATCTGTATCCCTCAGTAAGACAAGGTTGTTACATGTTGAATTGGATATTATGATGTTATAATAAGATGATGTTCATGATGCGTGAAAGGACAATCACAAATGTGACCATGCCTACGCAAGACTCAAACCTGCAGCCTCCTTGGCGCGGATGACTGCTGCCGCAATCGTCTGCGCAACGGGGCCGGTTTATTATAATATAATTACATTATCAAAATTACATAATCATAATTACATAATTTTACATTACATTACGAGTGGTGGTGGTGGTGGTGGTAACAGTGGAGGTGGTGGTAGGCGTGAATGTAGTAGCAGAAGTAGTATCATTATTTTTGTTATCATTATTATTACTATTATTAGATTTGTTTGTTTCCTGTGGGTATGAAGAAAAGAGGAAGACCTTAACATAGCTGGTTGCTATAAAATGAGAGACTTTCGAAAGAGAAGAATTTCACAATGATTATGAACACTGGGACAAGTGAAAAATAAAATAAAAATTATATTAAGTATTAAAATTTTGGGGTAAAAGAAAGTTGTATTTTTAATTTTATTATTATTATTATTATTATTATTATTATTATATTATTATTATTATTATATTATTATTATATTATTATTATTATATTATTATTATTATATTAATAATAAAATTTCTTCCCAGTTTTTACTGGTTGGTATTTCAACCATTAACTGGAATGACCAGGTGTGCGGTTTCTTTATTGAAGATTCAGGTGGCTTCTAACGATACGGCATGTATTCGAGATGACTGCCATCTGCGTATTATATATATTCCTGGCATCCAAGTGAAGACACTCTAGTGCTCACAGTTATCACTTTGCTGAAGTTCCACTGAACTGCGACTTCATGAGCGAGATCGGAATACTTCTGGATCTTCTCTTGATATTTTCCCGATGTTGTGGGTATTGGGTATTGATATATCGATAAGGAAAACCTGCTGATGGTGTCTATCAATGTACGTTATATCAAGTCTATTGCCGCCACTTGTCTGTCAGTGATAATGGAGCGATCCCAGTAGACTGTGTGGTCACTACTTTCAAGCATGTTCTGAGGCACATATTTATAATACAGCACGGAAGGGGGCGAGTAAGCTCGTTTTCATTGCCAATAATTGGTGGACCTGCTTCGCCACTTTATCATGCCTCTTTCTGTATTCCAACTGTGCGTGGCTGCTACATCCATTTGTCACGTGTTGGATAGTTTCGTTTGCGGCCTCATATCTTCTACACGAGTCGGAATGGATGGTCGAAACTCTCAGAATGTGTTTTGTAATTCAAAGTTGGCACCACTTTGTCCTGGATAGCTATTATGAAGGCTTCTGTCTCTGGAAAGAGATCCCACTACTGAGCCATGCGTGCGACGCAGAGATGTCGACTTCTGATTTACTCAGCTCATGAGGGTACCTTCCGTGCAGTGCCTTCGCTTTACATGAGATTAGCTTCTGTTCGGTTTCAGTGATTGGCTGAATAGGCGGATGAGGACTATAGTTATTATCAACTCGCTCACTGCTTGGTGAACTCTCCCACAATGTTTCAGGAAGTATCTTCTGAGTGATTATTATTATTATTATTATTATTATTATTATTAATATTATTATCACATATTGACCAAACATGTTATAGTGATTAGCAGTGCCAGCACATTCTGAATGGTTATTTATATAAAAATTTTCTGGTCTTAAATATTACATTACATACAGAAGGTTCAAAGGCTCAAAGAAGAGAGGCTTGCAAAGGTAACGTGGACGGAATTTTTTCATTATTCGAATAATTTGCTTTTGCAACAAGTCTGAGTACCACATGATGAGTTTCCCCAGAATTTTATACCATATCTCAGATGGGAATGTACATTTGAAAAATACACGTAACGAGCTGCATGGAGGCTGACAGAATTTGATAGAATTCTGAATGCGTAACATAATGAACTTAATTTAGTGTAATTTTGTTATATGTACATTCCATTAGAGGTTTGACTGAACTGACATACTTAGAAATTTTATTACCTTAACATCACCTAATTGCATATTATTCAGTTTCAATGGAGCATGCGATTGTTTATTTGAAATGCAAAAATGCATTGAAACTGTTTTTCTTTCATTAACTATTAATTTGTTCTTACAAAACCAATTTAAAAAGTTAATGTTAAAGGAAAGCCCTAAAGTTTTTTTTTCTCAAAGCGAGCTTCATGAGAAACAAAGTCAGAGATTGAAGTAAAGATGCAAAGAAGTTGATGAGCTCTAAGGTAAAAATATTATTAGCAGACACATCAGAAATCTTTTGGTACACATATCGTAAGAACGCGTATGCATTAATCATTCAAAGCTATAAAATGATGACAGAAATCCATTTCTTACATTCCGACGTGAACTACTTCTCAGAAAATATGGGTGAATTCAATGGAGAACAAAGGGAGGCAGTATTTAAAAGATATCGAAAAACGTTACCACCAAAATTGGGGGGTGTCTATGCTGGGATGAAAACGCGTAAAACTTCGAACATCCACAAATGAAAACTGACAAGAAGTATGAAGATAAATTAAAAACAAGCTCTCTTAAGCAAACCTAGAAATTCTACAAATGTATTATTTCACATCGAGAACACATATTTAAAGAAAAAATTGTTTGAGTTTTTGGTTCAAGTCCCCCAAAACGTACATATCAGTTGAAATAGGGCATGCAGATTTCCGAATTTATTTCATATACGAATAATTTAAAAAAACCAAGTACAAGAAAAAAAACACTCACAACAAAAATATAAAAAACGACAATCGGTGAATAGTTTAACATTTTTTGAAAGTAATAAGTCATCATATATACAATGAAGGCGAGTAACTCAATTCACACAAACTGGAAGCACGATTCTCAATCACATTTTTCGTCCGGTTTCCCCAATTCTATAAGCAAATGCTGAGATGCCCCCTTGTTTTGCTTCTGAACAAAAATGTAACTTCATTCTGATCATCCTTGGTTGAGATCTCCATTTCTAAGTTGTGACAGGAGTAGAATCAAGGGTGTAAATCTGCATTCCGTTTACAGATGCAAATAAGGAATAAATGTAAATAAGGAAAGTAATAGTTCAGGAAAAAATAATGAAAAATAATCAGAATATTTTGAACGCTAGTAACAAAACTAAAGCAATGTAGAATATCGTAAAAAATACGAGCACATCATATCGGTACTTAGTAGTGAATGTTGTTTTAAAGAATATGAAAGTAAAGCAAGTAATCCGGAAAAAGTGACAAATCTTTTCCGTGAACACTTTTCTAGAATTGCGACTGAACTCACAAAGGGACTAAAAATACAACTCATTCCTATCCCAAAAAATTTTCGACACGATGTGAATTTCCGAAACTTCACACGAAATCTTGAGAATAGTCAGCAAACTTAAAAAATAAATATTCATATGGTTAGATGAATTTCCGGTTTGTTTATTGTAAACTTGTGTACCTACCTTTATACACCCGCTAACTTACATTTTCAATGCTTCTTTTTGCACAGGAATATTTCCAGATATTTTCAAAACAGCAAAAAGTAAGCCACTTTTTTAAAAAAAAAGGAACAAAAATGAAATCCAAAATTACTGGCTGATTTCTTTTTTGTCAGTTTTCTTTAAAATATTAGAGAGGATTTTCTATATGCAAATGGAAACTTTTCTCAGGCAAAACGAAGCGTTTTCAGACTCGCAACACGGATTTAGAAAATCAAAATCTATGGAAACTGCCATTTCTTTTCTTACAGATGTTGCTTTATCAATGGACCAAAATGAAGCACACATTAGAATACTTTTATAACTTAAAAAAGCTTTTGACGTTACTGACCATAATACCTTACTATCAAAATTACCTTCTTATGGAATTCGTGGTATCGCCCTAGATTGGATAACCTCGTAACTTAAACACTGATCTCAAAGCGTAGAAATACCATACTGGCACGAAAGGACATTATTTACTAATCTTTCCCATTTTTTACCAATTGAATATGGAGTCTCACAAGGTTCGATCTTACGTCATATTCTCTTTCTGTTATACGAAAACGATATGCCCTCGTGAATTACAAACGGAAAAACGATTGTTTGCCGCTGATATTAATGTTCTTTGCAAAAAAGAAACAATAAATAGTACGATTTCCGAAGTTTCAAGGGGTTTTGAAATAAAAAAATTAATAGTTAACGAAGGAAGAACAGTTTCAACGCATTTCTGCATCTCAAATCAGCAATCGCATGCTTAATTGAAAATGAACAATATGCAATTAGCTGATGTTAAGGTAACAAAATTTCTAAGTGGATTCAGTCAAACCTCAAAGGAATGTGATGGAAGCCTCTCTTCATTGAGCTTGGAATCTTACCAC